TCTAATTAAAAAGGACACCTTGCAAATGCAATGCAAAGAAAAATGACACTGACAATGTATCATTACACACAGTGGAGGAATGTACAGTAGGTAGTCGATCACTGCTATTAGTTTGCTACTAGCTATATCTGTGTTTGTGGAGGAAGCTCATGAATGGTATGTCAGACATTAGCCGAGGCTTAGAAACAGCTGAACAGGAAGGTTCCATTTCAGTCACAAACGTCCTCTTTTAGACCCCAGAGGTGCTTTATTGGCATCCAACTCCAAACTGAAAAATGCTAAACAAGTCACAGAATTGTGAAGCTGGCTGATTCTGATTTCCACGCTGGACTGTAGTTTGTAAAAAGAGGTTCGAGTACTCAAATGGAACCAGGCTAAACACGCGTATTCACTCCTCTGCAGGAGTTCTCATACGAGCATGTGCAATAACGATATAGTTTCTTGAATGATTATGCTGCACTGGGTTATTACTTCTTTGCCCAACACTGAATTATTATCATTCACGCTCATACTGATGTTAGGTGACAAACGGTGTTACGATTATACTTATTTTTCTCGAGTGTTTATGCATGACAGAGATTGTAAATGTTGAAAATTTAGGCTATGGAACAGGGGATCGCCAAAACTTGCCAAAGTTTGAACTTTGAACTCTGTACTTCACTCTGACTTGCCTTATCCATGCGAATGGCGAAACCCCAGATGGATCAGGTCGGTGGGGTTACACAAGTGTTAAGTTATTGGGTGGGCCTGTTGAACCACAGAGACGGTAACCGTTAGACAGCTGTGTTCATTTAATTTAGAACTGTGTGACAGAAATGAGCTCCTTTATTGGACCAAAAAAAAAAACTCAACCAAGTGGCCATGTGCTATTGTCTTTGCTATTTCTCTTGGTTCAGGCCATCCTAGCATTCCCATGGCAACGGCAATATGGATGATGCAAACTTTGGCAGGCTGCTGGTGGGGTCGTTGTTCCATAATTCACTTACTTCACATTTAGTTTGGTGTGTTTTCTTGCTGTACATTTGCCATTTTATGCTGTAACCCCTCCCCCCAAACAAATCTGCTTTTCTGGATGATGTTTTGTGTGAGTGCGTGCGTGGAAACATCCAACATTTGCTTTTTTGCAAAGTTGATTACCTGGGTAGCTGTGCAATAGCTTGATATGTTTTATTTTGATGTTAAACATCATTGAATTCTAAGTGTGTTTGCAATGTATGATTTCCATGCAGTGTACGCTAAGAGGTTTGTGTCACTTTGAATCACTTAGTCATATATAGGCTGTCTGCTAAGTAAACTATGCCTTCGTGATATTTACGACACTGATCACAATGCCATCCACCTGTAACGAAGCTCTGATTGATGTTGCTTTACTTGCCTTCAAATTTTAGCTCGAGAGCCTCTTAAGTCCGCTCTCGGTGGTAGAAATGGCCTTCGACAAGCGTCTACCTGAGTTCTGCCAAATTAGGTTTTGTTTGCGCTCGAGTCTTCAGAAAAAAAAAAGACAAAAGTTGCCAAGTTTTACAAAAAGTGGTTAAATGTTTTGAAGATTTGTGTACTGTAAATAAAATTAAAAGCCAGTGACTGGAAAGATTATGAAGTGTTTGATTCACAGAGCACCTTATAAGAGCGTAAACAAAGCCTTTTTGTTGAGGAGGGAACCAATGCTTTGTTGGTGCTGAGTTGCATATGTATATTGTGCTCTGATTGGTGCAGCTTTTTTTCCTGAGTTTGTGCATAATGAACTAGAAGGCCGATGCAGGACTCTTCAGGATCCTGTCTCTGATGAGTTAACCGTGTGTTGTGTTGGCAAAAGTATTACCACTGAAAGATTTTGGGAAACAATAAAATTTTAAAAAACACTTTAAAATCTTTTACTTCTGTTTGTTTTACATCCAGATCACCAGTAGCAGGGATTTTCCCCTCCCACTGTGGTACCTTACAATATAAAGCACCTTGAGATGACAGTTGTTGTGATTTGGCGCTATATAAATAGAACTGAATTGATTTGAATTCGTTTTTTTCTATTACCAGTAGGAAAAGTTGATTTGATAAACACCACAAATAAGAGTGATGTCAGAGTGAACCAACACCTGGTGCACTCGTCACTGCAACAAGGTGAGAGGTTTGAGATCAAGTCATCTTTAGGGTATCGGATCACCTGCTTCCATCTCACCTCATCCCTAGCATCGTCTGTCACACCTCCTTCACTACATCATGAATCTTCTCTGTTGTCCTCCTCCTTTCCTCCTGCCCTGCAGCACCAAATTCAACCCTTCATCCCATTTGTTCAGCATCCCTCATCTGTGCATGTGTATCTTACCCTCTCTAACTTTATCTCCAGTGGTTTAAAATTAAGTGGCTGAAATAAAGCAGGTATTAAGGACAGATGTTTAACCACGAATCCACACATACAATAAAGAGTCAAGTTAAAGAGAAGACAGAGGAAATGGGATCAGTGCACCCTCTTTATTTTGATTTATATGCAAACAAGTAAAACCTTGTACAGTTGATCCTTACACTGCTTCTGCAAAGCATTTTTAAAAACATTCATGAAACCGCTGTAAAATTCAAGTTTCAGTTTCAACCTTAAAACAGCCAAGTCTACCCAGACATGGATCTTCTTTGAATTTAGGACTTAATCCATGTCTGGGAATCTGGCTGCATTGCCACAATCCCTTGTCATCTTGTCATATGAAACTCTTTGGACAAAACTTCCTAGCTAGCCTTACCTTTTACAAAACACTTGTACACCCAACAGGATTTATGAAAGCCCCTTTTACAAGTCTGGAGTTTACCAGATGTTGGTATATACTGTACTTAAGATGCAGACAAATAAACACCAAACTGAAAAAGTGGAAAACACAACGTTTAAAGCCACCATACCAAAAAAAAAAAAAAAAAAAAAAAGAGAGATTAGCTTCAAATGCTTTTATGAATACACATGGTAAGCAAACTTTGTACAACACTTGAGTTCTGCTCATGTCGATTCATCTGATGACGTGTCTCTGGCTACTGTTTGAGGTGTGCGCGTTCAGTCACTTTCTAAATGTGCACCACATGTATCTTTATAAGGGCAATCAATACCAAGCAGCAAGGTGAAACTGTTCGCGTGTACAGGCCTCTGTATAAAACTATACAGTACATGTAACAGATACAGTACATTCCTGTAATCCTGTTTGATAAATACAACTCCATACAGATACACACAAAGCACAGCAAAATATCTTAATTAGACTAAATCAGATCCTGCAGTCCAGAGAAGCTACAGTACACGCGTTCTCTGCTGCATAGTTAAAAGCTTACATCGACACTCCTGCTCAAAGAACGGTAAAGTGCTCGAAAACTTACATCAAGGCAACAGCAGAACTAAATGACCTTTGACCATCATCATGTGGAAAGTGGGTCTCCCAGTTAAAACAGGTGAGTACTCCTCCCGCGACCAAAACTTTACCATATACTGAAATGTATGTGGCAGATTCCACTGAATGACAAGCAACGGCATCAAACCCAACTGTGGGTTCTGCATCTTTTTAAAACTACAAACCAGGAGCCAAAGACTGGGGTCAGAAATGTCCTTGTTTTTTAAAGAAAGTCAGATTTGATTTTTCAGCTAATATAATTAAAACCTTTCAAATAACAAACAAAGTTTTCATAAATACAGTTCGCTCTTTTATTGTAGAAACCTTCACTCTTGTTTGACCGGCAAACTGTATTCACTAATACAAAGTTATCATCGTTTTAAAAGGCTGACTGACCGTGTTAGGCCTCAGTTACATGGGCCTAGACACCAGTTGGAGACCAACTGACAACCACCGGTTGTTAGGGAAAAATTAGTATTGCACAACCTGTTGTGTGTGGTTGCTGGCAGTCACTGTGAAACTGACTGCTAAGCCTCAGTCACTCACTAAGTCATAGCTTTCACTTTGAAGGACAACAGTCGGTGAGTCATTATCAAGTGTTTGCAGACAAATCAGCATCTTTCTTGAAAACTATGGCAGCTGTCATAATCTATGAACAAAGTAATCACATGATGGTTTTTGGCATAGCACTACATTTGAGAAAACCAGCAACCACTTTCAGCTGGTTAGGAAATACACAGATTTCCCTAGCAACTGGAAGTTGCTATGGCGTCGCCAAAGCCTCTCTCTTTCCAAAAGAATGTGCCTCTGTACACACATGTGGACAGACCACTAAAAGACAATCAGCTATAAATTAATTAACCATTAACTGCTAATCAATTCCATGTCACATTAAATGAAAAGAAATTTGCTTTTCTTTCACAAACAAGGACAGCTCCAAGTCGCTGCAAACGTTTGAGCACTACCTGATGTTCCTGCTGCTTGCTAAACAAGAATAAACATGATACTTCTGGGTTGAGCTAAAATGTAGTATTTCTGCTTTTTATTGCACTTTAAGTTCAAGCAATGCTAAATTTGTTGCTCTTCGCATCAGCCTGTTGACCTAGACTTTGTGCCAGTTTAAGTCTTCCTGTTATTCACCATTTACTCAGCTAAAAGCTTAATGGAATTAGTGGAAAGGTGAATACAATCACTCAACACTGATTAAATTCAAACTCAACTGAATTAAAACCCAAAATCCAACGTAATATATCATTTACAGGTTCTCTACCTGAAAAAAAGGCATGTGTAACAAGGATTCGCACCCCAGAAAACATGATTATGAATCACAAGGAGCAGCAAACGCTTGAATACACACAGTGATCTTATCCGTCCGTAGAGGTCAAAGGTAAAAAGCCACAATATGGTTCTCATTGCTTTCTCCAACACCTGGCACACACACTTCGCTACTATTGTTTAGAGCCCTATGTAGACAGAAGTGCAGCCTCTTTAAAACCCAAGTCACAGCCATGGGCCTCTAAGCTCGTCTGTAAACTTGTTTCAGTGCAAGATATAGCTAAATGTAACAACAAGCGCGCACGCACACACACACGCATATACACAAACACAGACTCACACGCACAAAAAACCAACAACAACAACAAAAAAAAAAAAAACCCACAGCAGATTATAAACATGCTGCTAAAAGCACTGGGGGGAACCCGAGCTGAGGTTTAGATAGGCTTGTAAAGCAGAGAAGTGACATATTTCTTCTTGTATCTGTGAGTCGCACTCAGCACCATTACTCCATCCTAACCAGGAGAGGAAAAAACAAACAAACAAACAAACAAAAACAGGCTGTCATTAAGTTGGATCCAAAGCATCAGAACAATGCAATATGCTCCAATTTGTGAAAGTACCAACTACGTACATATTGGATTACTGTTGAATACGCGATTTACCACAAACCTCACCACAGGTTTGGCTCACATTGAACCACCTAACTGATCAATTAGCTAATAACATAATAAAAATAATGCAAGAGAACTGTAGAAGTAAGTTCTGAATGTGGTCAGTGGTGTGAAACGATTCACACCACTGACCACTAGAGGTGGGAATCACCATACATCCCACGATACAATATTATCACAATACTTAACTCACGATACGATATTATTGCAATTTTTAAAAATATTTTGCAATATTCAGATTCTGTACATAAAGGTAAACTTTATCAATATTCATTTTATCTAATATCAAAGTCTCACACTCAGTCTTTCTCTCAGTTCAGTTTTATTGTTGACAAACTGAACGGTTTGTATTACAGTCTAGTCCAAGTTAACTGAAACCATCTGGTACAATTACAGCTATTCTGAACTATGCAATATGAAAACTATGCAGCCCATTCAGCAACTGAAGAATTTGAAAGTAAATTAAAACAAAATATAATTTTACATTAAATAAAAAAGTTTTAAACTTAATTAAAACAAAACATGTCTTAAATTAAAATAAGTAAACTGTCATGTTTATTGCTGCAATAAAAAAAGTTAAACACATTTGGACAGTGTCAGGATTCTTGCTCAGAAAAAGGATCAACATGCTCTGAAGTCAGAGCACAAAAACTTTTTTTGTAACAAAATATCGATTTCTGCTGTCCCTGTATCGATACATTATTAGCAAACAAAATATCACGATACTACACAGTATCGATTTTTCCCCCACCCCTACTGACCACCCCTACCAGCTTCCCCCTTTAAAGCAGAACATCTTCCCTTTGTCTGCACAAGGACTGAAAGAACTGATATAAAACTGATATGATTAAAAATCATGTTCATGTAAATGTGCTGGAACATTTAACAAAAAGAAAAAAAAGAGGGTGGGGGAGCAACTACTAACTTCCGTGAAAATGTGAGTCATGAGTCATTCTGCTGCAAGTAAACCTACCTTTATTGAAAGTGCATATAGGTGATTTAGCATGACATGGTTGGGTTCAGGCAGCAGGGCAGGGTCACACTAACAACAGACAGTAGGAGGAAAAGTCACAAAGAAAACAGTAACACGAAAAGATGAGTCACATCAGGGTCTAAAAAATTCTATCTGATTTGTAAACTGAGAGAAAGGTGCGAAAGGTGTAGATACTCACAGATATATTGGTGTCCTTGTTGAGAATGACTTGAAGGAGGTGAGGCGGGAGGATGGGCGGGGCTTTGAAGTGCTCCTCAGGTCTGAAGACATACTGCTCCTGTCCATATGGACCAGGAGGAGAGCTGGACAGGTCTAAAGATACAGCAATCACATTTATATGACATTTCACATACACACTTTACTCTACAGCTACTGACCAATTAAACACTAACAACAACAATAAAAAAGCTGTATTCTTTATTGTTGTATTTATTTTGGCATTTATTATTCAACTCCTTTCCTGGGAGCTGTATTAAGACTTAAATTGCTGGGACTGTAAGTGCCAGGTCAGGAAAGGCATGCTGCAATATGACAAGGCACTTTCCAGTTACTATTTACACATGCTGATTACCTTTAGTTGACTAAATAATTCAATAACGGAGCAGGCTGCTGACCTGACGTGTCGGAGCACTCCAAAGAGTCGACCTGAAGGGCGTCAAACACCTCAAAGTCAGACTTTTTCACATGGATCAAGTTGTTGATAGTTCCCATCTGGCTGGTTACCACCGGCTGCCGAAAAAGAGAGAGAAATCATCACAGAGGAAATGAGGAAGCATGTGTAAAATTAGCAGTTTCCTGCACAGTTTTCCCTAAGGCAAAAGAGCTATTTAGCAGCTTTCACCGAATAGAAGGGCTTTTCAAAGCTTTTCAGTCCCTCTGAGGTCTCAAAGTCCACATTTTGTGAGGATAACACAATACAAGATGGATGAAACTTAAATGCTAAATTTCCACAAAGGAATGTGTCCCTTCCTTTTTGAACTGTCAGAGGTCTCTGCACCATGCCAAAATGCAGTGTGCATGAATAAGTTAATGGGGGGGGGAAAAATGAAGCTACTGTACCTCTGATGGATCATGCACCCACTGTCCATCTACAAAAAACTTGTACTGGTGCTCTCCTTCGGGCAGGTCCAGAATTGCCACAAAATCATTATGGCTTAGGAGAAAGTAAGAGAATGTATTAGTGCAATATCCGAAACGTTTATCTACAAACTCTCAAGCTACAGCTTTACTTATAAAAGATAATGAATGTGATAACGTACCGTTATCCACTTCCTGTTTACCTTTTATTTAGCGGTATCTTTGTGTTCCAGTTATTAAAAGAACCAGCAATGTAGACCTCCTTCCCACCTCCGGCCCAGCGGATCACAGTGGGGCGAGCCTGAGGACCAGTTTTAACCAGATCATCTAAATCTGGGGTGAATTCTTTCTCTCCTGATGCCTGAAAGTAGTAAACATATAAATCTCAAATATAAGCTGTTTTGAGAAAATAAAGCTTTCAAATCTGAGGAAGTGGTGTGGAAGACAAATGTGTTTCAATATTATAATCTGCATACCTTCGATTCGGGTCCATGTGTGTTGAAGGTGTTGGGGTCATCTGTGCTGTCCACCATCTTGCTGCTGGGTTCTTGGTCTTTGGAACTGCTGCCACTGTCTGAGCGATGGGCCTTGGCACCATGCCGATCTCCGGCCACTCTGTCACTTGTGTTGCCCATGGTGCTTCACGTTTTTTTTGCAGTGCCACTGGAAATAAAGAACAATCCATTATGTGTTTAAGCATAAAGCAAGATCTTTCAGAAACAAGAAAAAGACTTGAAGAGACAAACAGACTGTAGGCAGAGATCAGCACTAGAAATCTTAATAGCTCATGGTAATCTCCTGTTTTTTTCCCCATTATAAATTTTATACATCTGATACGGATGAAACACAGTTTGTCTATGAAGCAGGAAGACCCCCCAGGTTTTCTGGTTCTTCAGTCAATAGAAGAACCAGAAAATGTTTTGTTTAATTTTTAAAATCCAGCCTTTAATGTCTTATAAACTTTTCATTTTTTGTGGTTTTCAGTGTGGAACTATCTGTTTTTTTATATATCTCCAATTTAACAGATCTACATCAGTACAAAACTTTTGATGCTGCTGACAACAAATTGAAAACAAAATATGAATATGAAGATCTCTTGAATAGACACCATAGTCGATCTCCAGTTATCCAAAAGACAATACATCACAGAAAGAAGCTGAGGCTGACCACAGGCTATTGTGACACATGTTTAAATACAAACTGAACCTGTTACATGAAACTATTTGTTCAGCATGACAAACACCATCTTAACACGATGAGCAGCAGCCTGACTCAGGCAAAAAAGCTAAACGCCTTTGCAGTGGGGCTAACCGGCTTACCGGTCGGTAGACGGATAAAAACATAAAGGTGAAACAGGGACTGTCTTCTGGCCGTGTGTTTGGACTTGAATCATAAACCGCCTAACGTAAATACAATCATGCTTTCAGACATAACGTAGTAAGAAAGCCTCCATTAGTTAACGCCCACTAGCTAAGCTACCGCCAAATCAACAAGTTTTCACCACAGAACTTAAAATAATACATACGCAATTTTGCCATTAGTAAATAATCATGAGTACTCGTACAGCTTGCCGACTGAAACCTACCGTAGTTTCCCCACCAGCTGTTCTGCTGTGTCCACCTCAGGTCACTTCGCAGGAGAATATTTTTAGCCCCTGTTGGGAGTTAGCTAACTGCTAGCTGTCACTGTCTACAAGCAAACGACCAAGCTGTTTGCTCTGTTTATCTGCGCCGCAACAAACACTTTCACCATTAAGTTGTGGCAGACGGGGAAAAAAAAAATCACCGACACTCTCCACCTATCTGCACATTGACTTTAGTTTGTGTTTTAGTGGAGGGCGGGCCCACCTCTCTACAACAACTGCAGAGAGCCCAGTGCTGCCCCGACTACGGAGAGCGGTTAGGACAAAAACTGTTCAAACAACCGAAAAAAAGGGCTGAAGGTCGCCAGGAAGGCAACATCTGTCACAAAAACGCCACAAAATGAAGAAGGTTAAGAGACACCCACAAGGAACTTAAGTAAAATAAATCGCATTTTACGACTGACTGCATAGTTAAACAAAAAAAATGTTTATTAATAAGCAAGTAATGTGATCCCAGTGAATATACAGCATTGTGCAAATCACCTCTCACCTATTTATATTTCCCTTCTAAGGAGCCAGACTTTACTGTAATGTTTTTAAGTGTTCTTCAGCAGCAGTTCTCCAGGATTTCTGAAGATCTGTCAGTTTTATGTTTTTGACATTGACTGCTTTTTCACTTATTTTCAGTCCAATCTTTTCAAAGGAATTTTTTTAAATTGTTTTATTATTATTATTACTTTTATTATTATTATTTATGATGCCTACTATCAAACGTTTAATTAAAAATGTGGTTTGTATAGTATGTCTATACCCCCTGAGGCCCCAGCTTCCAAAAATCCTGGGGTATTTAACTTGTCTATGTGGGCAGTTTCATTTGAGCTTGAAGATACGGATTATGGAGCAGGGGCTTCTCTCAGTCCTTGGTGATGTAAACTCACTTCAGTGTGGACATGACTGTGTTCTGACTGTGTTCCAGGAGTTTTAAGTTCGTGGCAGGATTGAGCCTTGATGGTTCCTGAACATCCTAACCATTTTCCTCTCATCTGACAGTGACAATTTGGGTCTTCTTCTAAACTTTGGCAAATGGATGACACATCCAAACAAGTTGTTCAAGGAACAAGATATCTGGACCTGCAATTGTTTAGAAAGAATTGTTTAGCTGTTTAGCAAGAATCCAAAATTCAACTGTACATGTTTTCCCTTCCCTCCTAATTTTGGAGGATTTAATTTGTTATGGAAAAAAATGCACCCAGAAATTTCAATCAAAAATACAAAGCTGATGCAAAAATATTCTCAGTTTTTGTATTTCTGTTTCATCTCCTTCATCATAGATGCTAACCGGATGGAAGTTCCTTACTGACACCAACACAAAGTTTATGTTCTGTGTGGAAACAAATCCACAGTTTTTGTCTTTATTGACCACTTGGCAAAGATTTCAACACATCAGACCGAGTTTCCAATCAGTGATCCTTACATTACTGAGGAGGCAATATCAGCATTCAAGCCTCCCTGGAAAGACCAAGTTTCAACAGCTAATAAATCAAGACTAGTTTCAAGCTCAGAAAATGTCACATAAACTAAACACAGAAGATTGTTATCATGCATGCTACATCTAAACTCCATCCACTTGGCTGTGTGAAAGAGTATGAAACAAATGAATGAATGTTAACTGTAGCAGGAATGTGTTGTGCGTATGTACTAGGTTGAAATGAGGATTGAAACATGACAAACATATGCTTCTTGCAAGTATTTTTCATCGTTAAATCCCATAAATAAGCATAACTGGAAACATATATACAGTAATTTGTATAGTTATAAAACACATCTTCTGATGTTATCATCAGACTTACACACACATAAGGCACATTTAAATCGTTATCAAACAGAGAGATCGGTGGTTTTCACATTGCACAAGATGTGTGTCTTCATTCACACACTGTTCCAGTGTTAACAAGTATTCGTTTGTCCAAGCCAGCTATTTTTGGTGGACAGCTGCTGATTGGAGAACAGTTTGTTTGGAACCGCTGTCACTTAGGGCAGGTGTTTACAAAATCATGTATACAGTGCATAGACATGTGAAAGGTTCAGCTGACATAGCGCCATTTTTCAAACAAAGGAAACGCACAACGCTATGTCGCGTATTTGTTTCATCACAGTTTAAAGGAATATCCGTGGCATAAATGAAATGAGCCATTATACTTAACACGTTTTAGTGTTTTTCCAGAACTGTCTTTTTGTGTGTAAATAACGCAAGTAAATGCAGGAAGAATGGTATGTTTTACAGTAAGAAAAAAAACATTTGAGCATGCATACCACAAATTATTAATGCTTTAACTACTGGCAGACGGCTCTTAAAACATGCACTGTATGCTTGATTGCCGTCTGTCTTTTTGGAGTTATTTCAGGCATTTTCAAGTCTGACATATTAAGTAAACCTTTTTTTGCAGTATCATTTGGAGATCCCTAAGCCACTCTTCATATACTCATAAACCACGTAGCTAATGCTGACTGCAGGAATGACTTTCATGAAGTTCGGCAGGATGCCCCGGTAGAGTCCAAAAACACCATCTTTGGCTACAATCTTCTTCATCAGAGAACTCATAGAGGGCTGGTTTGATGGTTCCAGAGATGCTGCAAAGAAATATTAGCTATGTTAGAGAACCAATTAAAAAGCAAAAAAATAAACTCACTGGCCACTTTGTTAGGTACATCTGCCCAACTGACTTAATGCAAATATGTAATTAGCCAGTCACATAACAGGCAGTCAACATATTTAGACATGTAGTCATGGTCAGGACGACCTGCTAAAGTTCAAACTGAGAATCGTTTAAGTGACTTTGATTGTGGATGGTTGTTTTTGTCAGACAGGCTGGTCTGACCATTTCAGAAACTATTGATCAGCTGGGATTTTCCCACACAGTCGTCTCTAGGGTTTATAGAGAATAGTTAGAAAGAGAAAACATCCAACGAGTGCCAGTTCTCTTGGTGAAAATGCCTTGTTGATGTTAGATAACATGTAAGCATGGATCCATCCTGTCTTGTATCAAACAGTTCAGGCTGCTGGCAGTGTAATGGTGGAAGAGATACTTTTTTTTTTTAGCACATGTGGGGTCCCTTATTACTAGGGATGGGTACCGATATCCGGTGCCATTATGGCACCGGTTCTGACATAAACGGTAGTAACCAGACCGAAAAGCAGCGCACATTTCGGTGCTTTTTTTTCTTCCTGAGATGTCATACACTTTGGATTCCAGCCAATCATTTTACCTTTCCAAGGATAGTAGGCGGGCCCAGGTACGTACGTTCTTTTAGAGCAGAGCTACAGATTAAAAATGTCCAAGGCGAAGCGGTCAAAAGTCTGACTGTACTTCACAGCAAAAGATGCAAACTCAGCAGCCTGCAACAAGTGCTTTAAGCTGATACTGTGATACTGTCAAAGGAGGTAACTCCTCGAATCTGATGAAACACCTGGTGACGCATAGTGTTTTTTTTAAAAGCCGAGAAATGCACCGTATTTGATAGCTTGCTGCGAGACCTTACACTGAGCACATCTACTGCGGATGTGGTAAATCTCCATTAGCGAGTTAGTGCAGATCGCCCCGTGCATGGGGCTGGACGGTGCTTATCATTTTGCAGAAGAAAAGAGACTGCTGAAAATAAAAACGTAAGAGGTTTTTGGACAAAGTTTGTGTTCTCCATTCTTAAGCACCGGTTCGAGCACCGGCACCGTTTCAAAAGTACCAATTTGGCACCTTACTTAGTACCAACTGAGCATTGTCCAAGCACAGCAGCCTACCTTAGTATTGTTGCTAATCACGCCCATCCCTCTATGACCACAGTGTACCATCTTCTGATGGTTAATTCCAACAGGATAAAACCTCATATCACAAAACTCAAACCATCTCAAACTGAGATTTTGAACATGACAATGAGTTCACTGTTCCTCAGATGGCCTCCACAATCACCAGATTTCAATCTAAGAGGAGAGTCACATTGTGGATGCCAGTATGAACCAAGGATTGTCTCTGGGGAATGTTTCCAGCACCTTGCTGAATCTATGCCAAGAAGAATCCAACCTGATAACAGCAACATGTAACTAATAAAATGGCCAATAACAGCCAACATTTTTGTCTATTCGTTTCTTTACTCATATACCACTGATTTGTCAGTTTGTGAGACCATGACCCTGTCTAAATGTTACACTCAAAAAACAACTTTCATCTCAAAGTGAACAACATTAAAGAGGAATGCCCTTTTTCAGATGGAGCCCCCTTTACATTACGTGGGCTGTAACACAAGTATATATTTACAGAAAACATGGATCAGAACCTTTACACCATCAAATGCAACCCGCCCACCTTGAAAAATATTGTGCTATTATTATGTTACGAAGGGGCTACCTAGTTATGTCATTACTATTTTCAAATATCAGGCTGTGTTTACCTTGTGCTTGCATCCGAGTGCGCACAAGTGCGAGTGGATAGCTTGCCAGCTGGCCACAGGTACTAGAGATGGTCCCACAGCCCAGCAACACCAGCACTCCAGGGTTGGCTGACTCAGTGGCGTAATGTGCCAACCAAGTGTTCTTTAGAGTCTAGAGAGTTATGATAAGAGAAAGGAAAATTCAGCTAATGTGCAAAATCAGCATAACACATAAATTTCTCTCATTTAATTTAATGCAACTCTGCACGATGGATTGGTTTAGTGTGCATATAAATGATCTAATTAACTAAAGTGCAATCCATTGTGAAATATGTCTGTGAAGGTTCTCAATCCATTGTGAAATATCCATGCATCACAAAGCCAGCATACCTCATAAACAGCCAGGTCTATCCCAGCGTAGGGAAGGATGCCCAGTGAGTTTGGTACGTAGCCCTTGTAGAAAGCTTTGACGCCCTCCTTCCTCAGGATCTTCTTGGCACAATCAAACATTCCTGCATACTGGCCAGTTTTCCTAAGCGTCAACCGCGTCTTTAATACCTAAGAGAGAAGCAATGCATAAAAAATACAAAGGAGGTCAGATTCGGTTGGTTTGCGTGGAGAGGAGGTGTTACCACGTCCAGTGAGGCAGCATCACAGATCTTGTTACCTCCATTGGGTAGATTGTTGTCTGTGCTGTGGCCCCAGCCAGAGAGCCAGCCAGAAACCTCTGGTGGGTCTCAATCTTCGCTCCTTCTGATGATAACAACCTCTTATACTGTAGCAGAAAACGTAAAATGCCACAATATTTGTTACTACATTTAATAGCTGCAAACAGAAGTATTTAAAAAAAAAAAATTCACATTTCAGCGGTATGGTTCCTTACTTGTTCATAAGCCATGAAC